CCGCGCCGCGTTCTGGGGCGCCGTGCTGTCCCGCCGGGACGGTCCGCGCCTGAGCTCGCCTCCCCCACAGCCATCCCGGCTCTGCGACCCATCGTGCACGACCTCTTCGTGCTGCGGGGCGCCAACAAGGCGGACGCGGGCAAGGAGCTCGAGACCCAGAAAGAGGTGGTGGTGTCCATGCTGCTGCGCCTCGTCCAGTACCACCAGGTGAGCGCGGGCGGCCGGCCCGCAGTGCGAGCCCGGCTGACTGCCACGGAGTCCCCGAGGCAGCAGAGCGGCAGGCCCCGCCCCGCCCCAAAGCGACGCCCAGGGCTCATCTTGGCAGCATGGAGCAAATGGCAAAGTTCCGAAAATAAGTTTTAAACATCTCAACTCCGAATTCACCGGCAGACTTCAGCTGTACACGTGTCTCCCACTGCCTTGACTGGTGCCGTGCTCTTCTGGGGGGCCGATTCCCTGAGAGGGGCCGGGACCGTCTGCGTGCAGAGGCCTTGCTTCCGCTTCTCCTCTCAGCTGCGCGGGGGCCCAGCCTCTTCCTTTGTCAGTTTTTGTGGAAATTCAGTTGCTTCTGAAGCTTTACAGAGCCGTGAGCTCCTCTTGGTCCCTTCGCGTCGGCTCCCCTGCAGTATTTCATTCCCCGCTTCCTGAGGGCAGCCGGCCTCCGGGGCGTGGCCGGGCAGCAGGGCGCTGGCCCGGCAGCAAGCTGCTGCGGTGCGGCACAGCGGGCCCGCGCCCTCCGCAGGGCAGTCAGGGCCCCGGGCGCAGGGTCCCGCTGTTCTCGCTCTGTGGTGGTCGTACGTCTTCCAGCTCAGCACGTTTTTGTCCCAGCAAGCATTAGTAGCCACGTGGGAAGCCAGGCGTCCATGCAGCGTCCAGCTCAAGGCTGTCCTGGCGGGCGCTCATAGACGGCTACGGGCCAGCAGAATTCATTGATGGAAACGGGCCTTGAGGCAGCTCAGTGCAGAAATCACAGCTAATCCGCCGCTCGGCAGTGAGGCGGCCTCCGTGCCGGGGCCTTTCGCAGAGAGCAGACTGCGGCGCCGCGCGGCCCGGGGTGCTGCTCTGCCAGAGGCCCGCACTGCCCGGCCGCCTCTGGCGCCTGGCCTCCGGGTGGGCAGCCTCGCCTCGCTGTGCCACACAGGTGGCACACAGGTGCCATTTGTTTCTGTGGGCCCACACGGGGGTGGAACGGGGTGCGTGGGGCCGGCGTGTGGTGGGACGGCGAAGGGCTGGACTGTGCCCGTCTCTTGCAGGTGGTAGAGATGTTCATCCTGGTCCTGCAGCAGTGCCACAAGGAGAACGAGGACAAGTGGAAGCGGCTGTCGCGGCAAATCGCCGACGTCATCCTGCCCATGCTGGCCAGGCAGCAGGTCCGTCCCTGTGGGGTGGCGAGCCTGCCGGCCAGGCTCCCGCGCCAGCCTGCTGGTCCAAGTAACTGCTGCGCCGCCCGGCCGCTGCCCCTCCTTGCGTGTGTGGGGGCCGGCAGAGCCGTGTCCAGGCCTCCCAGAGGCCCTCGGCCCAGGCAGGGCCCCGGCGGCGTGTCGTGGCTGTGCCTGCTTAGCTCATGCGGTGGTGCGCCCGCCGTGCCCGTTGACAGGAGGCTGCTGGCCGGTGCCCCTGCGCCCCTCCGCGGTTTGTGGCGGGGGACCGCGGAAGAAGGCCGCCAGCCCGGGCCGGCACTGCAGTGGGCCAGCAGGGTGCGGGCCGTCCCCACCCGCTAAGCTGCGTGGCGTCCTGGCCGCACGAGCACCCCCATGGTGGCCGTTTCACCGCCTCCCGGCGAGGGCATCTGGTTGCCTCACTGCTTGTTACCCAGAGCCCCTGGTGGGGCTGGGCCGGCCCCTGGGAGCTGCTCTGGCTCTGGACTGGAGGGTGGGGGACACCGTGGCTGGGACACGCCCACTGAAGTTGAGCTGCCCTGACTGGGCCAAGCGCCCACCTTCGTGCCTTGGCAATGGGTGTGAGCACGAGGCCGCCACTGGGCAGACTGTGGGCACAGCGGCTCCTGGGGGCTTGGTCGGCAGTGGGAGTGCGGTGCTTGTGCGCACTGGGCAGGCTGTGGCTGCCCCATACTGCCCACGGGCCCTGTCACAGCGCCCTGTGCAGCTGCAGGAGGAGGGAACCCCAGCTGAGTGGGCCCTCCCAGCTGAGTGACCGGGGTAGGGGCAGCTCGATGGGCAGGCTGCAGGCAAGGCAAGGGCCCTGCTCCTCATAAGGGGGTGTCGGCCTGCTGGTCAGGTTGGGGCCCAGAGCACGGGGAGGCCTCAGGGGAGCAGGTGGGCAGCCTGTGTCGGTAGTAGAAGGACCGGGTGCTGCCAGAGGAGGCGTGGCTGGGCACGCCGGTGCTGCGCGTCCCAGCGGCTCGCACGGGCCCGGCCCGGGGCTGTTGGCAGGGCAGCGTGGGTCTGGGGGGCGCAGCGGGCCCGTGGTGCTCCCACTGGCCTCCCAGCCATGGCGGACAGCCCGCCTGGCATCTTCATGTATTCCAGAGCCCGCGGGGAGTGCCCGGCACGGGCGTCGGGTGTGTCTGGAGAGAGCCTGCCAGAGCGCGCCCGTGGGAAGGGCAAATGTAGCACCTGTTGCTCGGGCAAGAGCAGTTTTTGCGGGCTCTGGCCGTGGAGAAAACGCAGCAAAGTGCATCCGGTGCCACAGTAGGGTGGAGGGGCGCAGAGTGGGGTGCGGTGGGCGTGCTGCCCAGTGTGGGCGCCGCGTGCGAGGAGGCTGCCCCCAGGGTTGCGTGCGTGGCGGCGCCGCCCATCCCGCGGGCAGTTTTCCCCCTCGCCCTGCCGGAGTCGCCTACGGAAGGCGCGTGTTGCTGACCGGAGCAGAGGCTGCGGGACACAGCGGGCCTGTCCTGGGGCCCTCGGGCTCACCCCCAGCCCGACTGCGCCGCAGGCCGCGGGGTGGGCCTGCCCTGTGCCCGCGGCTGAGGGCGCCCGGCGTCTCCTCGTGGCAGATGCACATCGACTCGCACGACGCCCTGGGAGTGCTGAACACCTTATTTGAGATGTTGGCCCCTTCCTCCCTGCGTCCCGTGGACATGCTTCTGCGGAGTATGTTCGTCACTCCGGACACGATGGTGAGTGTCTGCTCGTGGCGGGCCTCGCCCTTCCCCGCGGGGGGCGCCCGCGGCTTACTGGAAGATGGCCAGAGGGGGCAGTTTCACTCGGGAGGCCGGCAGCCAGGGCTGACGCAGGCCTTTGTGTCTTCAGCTGCGACCCCGTGTTTCCCCCAGGCGTCTGTGAGCACCGTGCAGCTGTGGATATCGGGCATCCTTGCCATCTTGAGGGTCCTCATTTCCCAGTCGACCGAAGACATCGTTCTCTCTCGAATCCAGGAGCTCGCTCTCTCTCCGTATTTGATCTCCTGTCCAGTGATAAATAGGTTAAGAGAAGGGCACGGCGACCCCGTACCTGAGGAACACGGTGACGAGAGGCCAGTGAAGAATTCACCAGAAGAAACGTTTTCAAGGTGTGCACGTGCACAGCGCCGCCCTCCTCTGCGCCTCTCGGTCGAACGCACTTCCTGGCCCACGAGTCTGGGGCTGGGGGACCCACTGTGCCTGTGGCTGTCACACCTCTGTGTCCCCTTCAGAGGCGACGCCTTGGCGCCGCGCACGGCGGGGGCTGCCGGCCCCGGGTGCAGGCTGCCTGGCCGGCTTTTCCTGCAGAGGCCGGGAGCCCTGGGAAGGCCTGCCGGGGTCGCCTCAGTTTCCTCTTCCTGTTGCTGGCCGCAGCGCTGTCCGCGGGACCCCGTTCCCTTCGGGCGGCCCCCGGGAGGTTGCGGCCAGGGCCCGCCCTGCCCTCAAGGCGGCCCCTTCAGGGCGGGTCGCCCCTTGCTCACAGCCTCCTCGGACTCGGCTCCGCCGGCACAGCTGTGCGCCCGTTGTCCGGCGGCGGCATGGAGGCCCTCGCGGGCCTGCGCTTGCGGAGGAGGCTGCCCCCTGCGGGCACCTCGGGTGTTCTTGGGGTCAGCGGGGCCGCCCGGCGAGCCCCCTGTGCATTTCAGCAGGCGGCTGACACCCGAAGCCCCCGAGCTGGGTCCTGAGCTGGGTGCTCACGCTGCGAGGCATTTAAAGAAGCGCGTGTCACCTCAGCCCTTTGCAGGTGGCATCGTGACAGCCGTTGCCCGCGGGGACGTGAGACGGAGGGAGGGGAGGTGGCAGCGTCCGGAGAGCCAGGCCGCTGCGCCACCCCCACTGTGGTCCCTGCACGCCCCGCCCTTGGCGCTCCGCCTCGCCAGCACACCTTTCTCTCTCCCTTTCTTGGAAGGTTTCTGCTGCAGCTGGTTGGCATTCTCCTAGAGGACATTGTCACGAAGCAGGTGAAGGTGGAAGTGAGCGAGCAGCAGCACACCTTCTACTGCCAGGAGCTGGGCACGCTGCTCATGTGTCTGGTCCACATCTTCAAGTCAGGTAGGTGGCGCGGCCACCCGAGACTGCACTCGGGCACATGCCACGCTACGCACGGCGCTGAGAAGGCGTGTCCCTGGGGCACGATACCGGGGCCTGCTCCTGGGGTGCCGGCCTGGACCTAAGCCAGAGTCCAGAATGCCAGCCGTACCGTGCGCAGTCGTAGCTCTGCAGCGGTCTGTCTTCCATGGGACGCTAACGCCGGGCAGTGGAAGGTACAGGAAGGGGCGGAGCGATGCAGAGGTCGTCACAGTCCCGTCTTGCCTTGTGGGGTTGTGGGATAAAACCCGAAGGCGACAGAACAGGGAAATAGAAGCTACACAGATGACCGAGTCAAAGTGCGCTGTTCGCCGGAGGGGCACCAGGAACCTCTTCAGCCTGCGGGCCGGGGTGCAGGGGTGGCATTCAGTGGGCACAGCTCACCCCCACGCCCGGTGCAGGGAGGCCGGGGCGGGCTCCCTTCTCTGGCGGGCCCTCCACGTGGTCTCAGCCCTGACGGGTGTGACTGAGCCCCCGTGATCTGGTGTGGAGCGCAGGGGACAGGGCTTGGACAGCATGCTCCCTGGGAGTCGGGGGCCTCCCGGGTCAGGTCTGGGCACTCCAGAGAAAGAGGAGGCCCTCGTATAGGGTGTGGCCAGAATGTAACTCTGACAGCCGGTTCTGGTTGCAAGCTGCCTCGGTAACTAGCAGTAAAAGAATCTTCTGTGCGATCTCTTGGTGTGTGGGCCGTGACCCTGCGTGGTGGGTAAGGTGTCTGCAGGAGGGTCCTGTGACGTTTGCCGCTGCTGGGCTGGCCCTGACACCGGGAGGCACCGGGCACCGGCGTAGCCCTGAGCTGCGAGTCCTGCCCGCTGGAGAGGGCGCTGCTGGGGCCTGCCCGGGGCTTCCCGCCGCCCGCGCTCTCAGACCTCAGCGGGCGTGGCCCCGTGTCCATGGCGGCTGTGGCGTTCGAGGCGCGGCTCGTGTGCTTAAGGAGCTGCTTGCCACTGTGACTGTGCCCGAGCGAGCGACTGCTGGGAGAGCCCGGGCGGCTGAGGCCACTGCGAGGCAGAGGCGCCCAGGGAGGCCCAGGCTGCTGGGCAGCACCCCTGCCCGCCTGCCTCCCGGCGACGCGGCTGCTTCTCCCTAGAGCCGCTAGGGGGCAGGAGCGCCGTGCTGGCCGGCAGAGCTGCGGTCAGGCGTCTTGTCCTGCTGTACTAGGTGTGTTTGGGCAGGAAGTTGGTGATGTGTTTGTGCACAGCCTAGGCAAAGTGTGTCTTTCTCTCTCGCGCTGAAAACTGAGAACTTTGAGTTTTCCCACCTGAGATACTATTTCTGACACAAGCTGCTGGTCTGAACAGGTCTCTGGTCTCCTGCTGCCCCTCTTGTTGGGGCGGAATAGGAGCCCCAGAACTGTTCGGCTGTTTGACACTCACTCGACGTGAGCAGAGTGGCCCTGTGCCGTCCCGTGCGAGGTGGGCAGCAAGGGCGCAGGGCCCGCGGCGCTTGCCCACAGGCCGTCCCAGTGCCCGTGCTGTGCCTTAGCGCACGCCCCGCACTCTGCCCTGGCTAGGGCTCCCCGGAGCCCTCGCGGGGCCCTGCTCCCCAAGCAGTCCTCCGGGCACACGCTCCCTTCTGTGGACAGTTCTGTCCAGGGCCAGCGTTGCTGCCTTAGTGTGGGAGAGCGGCTGGCGGGGCGCGGGCGGTGGCCCTCCTGCGGCGGGAGCTGCTGCGCCTCTCCTTGGGCTGTGCCGTGGCTCCCGTTGAGCCCCGTGAGCAGCTGCTAGCCCGCTGCTGCTTTATAGGGGAGGGCACTGGGGCCAGGGGCCGGCAGCCAGTCCCCGAGCGGGCCGTGGCGGGGCCGGAGCCCCACGCCTGCCCCGGCCTGCACGCTCCTGCAGGGCAGCACGGTTCCCTTCCGTGCCCGTGGTGGAGGGCCTGGGGAGACCCCGGCTGGGGTGGGGGGCAGTGGTGACCTCACAGCAGCACGCGAGAAGCCCTAGGACATGGCCAGAGACAAGGCGAACAAGTGGGGGTCTTCCGAGGGGCTTTGCTGATGTCCTCTTTGTTGACTCTCCCTTGTCCAGGCCCCAGGAGGACCAGTCACAAAGTGACGGGGAGGTGACTGTGGTCTATCTTTGCTGTTGAAGGGCCCGTTTACATTTGGGGTGTGTTGCGATTTCGGTTGGAAGTAGGGAGCTGGGACTGGGGGTGAGCCCTCCGCAAACTCCCGTCCGGTCGCCCAGTGCCTTGGTCTGTGTCCACGGGTGGGGAGCCTGTGGAGCCCTTCATGGGCGTGGGCTGGAGTCTTTTCGTGCCCAGGGGAGGTGGGCAGTCAGGTGGGCCTGCTGCTGCAGGGCAGTGCTGAGCGTAGGTGGCCAGCACCCCTCGGCTGCCGTGCCCTGCAGGAGCGAGCCCGGCTAGCGGGGATGCTGGGCACTTGCCCTGTCCCGGGGTGTCCTCGTAGTGCGCGCCAGGCCCATAAGGGTGCAGGGAGAGTCCTGTGTCTGCCGCCCAGCTGCGGAGGGCCACCTTCCTCAGCACAGAGATGGGTGGCCGCCTCGGTCGAGCCGTGCCCGCTGCCCCCACCCTGGCCTGAGCCAGCAGGCGAGCGTGGGGGTGGGCTGCCCGCTTCCTTGGCTAGTCCAGTAACTACGTGGAATGTCTTTTTTGCTTAGAAAAGCTGACATTTCGAAGTGCCAAAACTCTGAATATGAAAGCGTAGGAGAGGCCGGGCGTGCGTTTTATGTAAAATGTCCCAACTGCAAGATGCTGGACCTCGATGATTGGCACAGGCACTTTTCCTAATCTGGTCTACTTTGGTTTGTTTCTAGGAATGTTCCGCAGAATCACAGCGGCTGCCACGAGGCTGTTCGCGGCCGAAGGCGCCGACAGCAGCTTCTACGGCCTGGAGAGCCTGAACGCGCGGGTGCGCTCCATGGCCCCCACGCACCCCGCCCTGGTGCTGCTCTGGTGCCAGATCCTGCTGCTCGTCAGCCACACGGACCACCGCTGGTGGGCAGAGGTGCAGCAGACCCCCAAGTACGTGGAGCACGCGGGCAGGGCCCACGGGTGTGCCCGGACCGCAGCTCGGCCAGCCCCGCCCCGCGAGGCGGCGCTGCTGTGTCCCTGCCAGGCCCCGCTCAGCCACGCCGAGGCGCCACGCCTCCGTGGCTCCCCCAAGTGGGCTTCCGCCCCGGCCGGGCCTCCCGCCGCCCTCGTCCTTACATGTTCCGGAGCCAGACGTGTCGCCAGGCCTGCCTCCGTGTTGGGTTACATGTGGTCTGGTTATTCTTAGCGAAGTGCCTGTTCGGTGACATTTTCGAGTAGCTTGGACATAGCTCGCTCTCTGTCGCGCACACGGCTCGAGGGTGCGCGCGGCCTGCCGTGCTCGCTGCTTGAGGTTGAGCCCCCCCAGGCGGCCCAGGTGCGGACGGGGTGGCGGCTGCC